GGGGTCACGATCCTAGCTATACATGGCGAAGTCTTTGGGGCTCAAAGTCTATGCTTCTTAAAGGCTTAAAATGGAGGGTGGGCTCGGGTCTGAAATTAAAGTCTGGACAGACTCTTGGCTCCCTGGTACACCCCAAATCATAGCTCCTTTGCAGAATGGTAACTTTGATCCGATACTTCGTGTTGCTGCTCTCCTGGATGCTCGTAGCAGTGTGTGGGATGTTGAGGCCCCTCGGCACTATTTTGATGAAGAAGTATGCTGCAAAATTCTAATCTTACCCATTGCCACTGCGTGTACAGACACACGCTACTGGTGGCCTTCAAAGAACGGGGAATTCAGTGTCAAGACTGCATATTGGCTGGAAAAATGGGTTGGGGTTTGATGAGTAATGCGAACCAGGACGAGGATGACAGAAGGTTGTGGAGGCTGGTTTGGAAATTGGGTGGCCCGCCAAACGGCGTGAAACATGAACTTCATAGAGGCCCGCCAAACGGCGTGAAACATGAACTTCATAGAAGACATCTCACCAATAGTGACTTGTGCTCATTGTGTGGAACGGAAAGTGAAACGATTTCTCATGCTCTCTTTGACTGCCCGGGTGTAAAACAGGTATGGGATGGTAGCTCCTTTGTGCCTGTGATTTTTTGATGCCCCTCTGAATATGTCCTTCGTTGAAAGGATGCTCTGGCTTGCGAATAGACTCACTAGCAGCGAGTTGGGCATGATTCTAAATGTTGCCTGGTCGATTGGTTTTGCCGTAATCAGCGCATTTTTGAAGACAAGAGTCTTGATATGAAGGTTATGGCTGCATGCTTTGCTAAGTCACTTCATAGCTTTCGCCAGTATGCTTCAAGAGTGTTCTCTGGCTCGGTCAGAGCTGCACAGCAGCTTGTATCATCTTTGGTGAGGCCTCCTGCAGGTTTAATTAAAATTCATGTGGGGGGTGCCTTGAAAGGTGGACTTGGAGCCATTGCAAGGGATGAACATGGGTAGATTATTTGGGCAGCTTTCCAAAGGAGTGGAATGTTGATGTGGCTCAAGTGGCAGCAATTAGATTTGGGTGTCAGGTTGCTAGAAGATTGGGATATGATAGTTTATGGGTTGAAGGAGACTCCCTGACAAATGATACTTCGCATGGATATCCTCCAATTTGGCTGCTTGTTGACGAAGTCCCTAGTATTGCTAAGTTTTTTAATTTCTGTAAGATTTCGCATGTTAAGCGAGCAGGTAATATCGTAACTCACTTAGTTGCTAGACGGAATACGGGATTATGCGATGAGAGAATTTTTATGAACTCCTTCCCCCAAAGTATTTTAGCTTTGGCGGAACTTTATGTTATCCAGTAATATAATGCTCTTTTTCCCTCAAAAAAAAAAAATATACGAAGTAAGTTTTACACTTAGTCCAAAGTTTATACTATAATCATTTATTGGACCAATAAGCCGTTGGTAAATATAATTTGACAAATTAATTATGTGGTATTTTTTCTATAAAGGTTGTTATCGTAGAACCTTGTAATGTAACTGGCGTGGCTCACAAAAAGGATGTTAGCATAGCCAAATGAATTAGCCACATGTCCATACTAGATTAATTGCAATAAAATTAAGGGAACTTTTCTAATTAGTAAAATTAAAAAATGCAAACATAGTTCGAGTTTGTTAGTTCTTCCATAAATTGGAAGCGTGAAAGAACAAAAGTGATGCATGTAGGTCTTCGTTTGCAAGTTCATGATGAAAATCTCTGCAATCTGCATGAAACCATAATACATGGACAAAGTTAAACCTTGATGAATTGCCAAACCCCCCTTTCCCAAATACGAATTATAAACTAAAAACACGTGCATAAAAGTTAATTTGCTAGAGGATAAATACATAGTATCTTCAAAGTTAATCATTTAATTGGATCAAATACAAGGTATAATTAAATAATTAACTACGTGCATCACACAATCAACCCCACAATACCTATAAGACGGAGGTGCACCTGACATGACATTTCCACGATTAAATAATATTTCATTCCGATTAGTACCCCCAAGTCTCTTGCTCTTATTAAGCTCAGCCTTAATAGAGGTGGGTAGCGGGACTGGGTGGACGGTCTATCCGCCTAATGTGACAACATTGGCAAGTGCATGTAAAAAGCTATTTGTTTGAAATTTTTGGACTTCGTTAATCTAAACTATCATTTGTGCAATTTTTGCTAGTATGCCCAATAACCGATGGTTCAAAAATTTGATGGTCATATTACCAGTTTACCACGGTAAAAATTTGAGGGAATGTTGTAGTGATACATTAATGCACTAAAGTTGATTGTATAAATTGCACGTCTCAACGTGTGAATTGATATAGCTAAACCGAAGCAGACAACTAAAGAGTTGTATTTATATTAAGCGAGCTCTATTCTTTCATAAATTCCGTCGTTAGAATACATGTTTCCAAAATACTTTGTAAATTACCCCATAAAAGGTCTATTTTGTTCACCTTATTTTCACTTATTTCAGTTTTAATAAGTTCAGTTAAATTAAGATAAGTTCAATTCAGAAAAAATAAGTTTTAATAAAGGTAGCCCAAATTTAAATTAAAACTAAAATAAGTTGTAATAAGTTTAAATAAGTTCAGATAAGTGAAAATCAGGTGAATAGAATACACCTTAATATTATCAAATCTTCAACCATTATCGTCGAATAATATTCGTAAATAGTACAGACTACAGAGTATCAATTTCATTTACATCATCATCTTTCCAGAAAGGGTGTAACATTCAATGGGCTCCTATTGAAATAAACACATAACATGTTCCAAAGTCTAAATTAAAACAAAATAGGGATGTGTTTTGTTTTTACTCATCTGAACGTAGTGAACTTATTAGACCTTATTAAAACTTTTTTTAGTTATAATTTGGGCAATTCTTATCAAAATTTATTATTCCTGAACTGAACTTATTAGACATAAAATAAGCGAAAATAAAGTGAACAAACTCTAAATTGAGCCAAAAGCCACTATTATATATTTAACTATTTTTGTGCCCGGGCGATGCCCATATGGTTGATAAAATTTTAAGATAACATTTTTACTTGAATGTTAATGAATACGGTCATATAATCCGTTATGATAATGTAGGATATTTAGACATACAATATTATATGGCTTATATTTATATAATAGTGTACTTTTTGTAGTTTTGTTTGTAAATATATATCTATGTTATTATTGACTTGAAATTACTTATATTGAGCTTAAATTATTTTCACTAAACTTAAAGTATTTTTACCAAACTAAAATTATTTTTACAGATTAAAACTTTTTTTTATTGATTCTCTATTATTTTTTTAAAATAAATTAAATAACAATGCATTTTGTATGCGGCTAGCCACACCATCTGGCAGACAGAGTAAACCCTATAAAACTGACCGAGTAACTCTTGTAATACTAACTAAGTAACCTTTAACACTGATTAAGTAACTCATATCTATAACACTAATTGAGTAACCACTATAACACTGACCAAGTAACCCTTATAGCACTCACGAAATAACTCTTATAATAGTTGGTGACACGGTTTGACCAGCTACATATAAAAGTTTGTGATTAAATATATTATAAATGGATCTTATTTTAAAGAACTTTTTAAAACGAATTTTGATGATGGAAATAGAATTGTGTTATAAGATATTTATAAGAAGTTATGATTAATTTCCCTAATTTTGTATAAATGAAATATTAGAATTTTATCGATAATAAAAATCTATACAACAATTTTATTTTAAAAAATCTATCCAAAAATCGCTTACTTGGAATCATATATGTCACAATAATACCTATTTATCGCTCATGTAGTGCGACACTTAACAAAAAATTGGAATGTCAAGTGTCGCTATCTCATTGTCTCGTGGCCTGGTTGCGAAATCGGCTTTATTTATTAGTTATATGATATAATATGATTTGATTTGATTTTTGACGACTAAAATTGAGAAACAAAGAGAGAAGACAGAGAAAAAATGGAGGGAGATGGAAGAAGCAATGCATCAATTGCGTCAAATCCCAGTTTAAAATCTTCTGCGATTTCCCAAGATCGCCTCGCCAAATTTCGAGTATACTCTTTAACTCTGCTTTACTTTTTGCTCGAATTAAGAAATTTGATTACTTGAATTTTGAACAAAAAACCCAGAAAATAATTTGATTTCATGGGTTGATATGTTTCCATAATTTGTTAATTTTTTGTTTTGTGATGTTAGTAAAATGGGCTTAATTTGATATCAATGCCATAGTAAATCACTAAATTGTATTAGTTGATGCTTGATTAGTGATTTCTGCTGTTTTTGATTTGTTTTGGGGATTACTGAAAAAAGGGTTTGATTTGATTTCAGTGTAGTAGTACTTCGTATATAATCACATACTTTGTTAATTGATGTTTGATTATAGTTTTTTGCAATTTCAGGTTTCCATTTTAACTTGTTAAATTTAACATGTATGTTTCTGGGAATATATAGGGGTAAATTGTTTAGCTTGTCATGAATTGTTGTTGTGATCATGTTTTAATCTAGGGTTTGGAATTAGTCTCCTTGAATGCAAAATTAAGGAAAGTGTGATTAAATAGTGGAATTATAAGACCCAACAATCCCAATGTCATGGAGCATGGAAGAGTAAATTGTGTTGTTCTGACTTTAAGGTTGCTTGGTTCCTTTATTTTCATTTTCGATGTTGCGATTGCTTGGTGTAAGTATATCTTGGACTGTACATCTTGTAGGAATTACAAAGAAGACGCTTGCAAATTCAAACAAAGTCTAAGAACAAAAGAAAGTCTAAAGGTCCATCATCATTCATTATGTACTGTACCTCCTGGTTATGACTTTGAGCTATCACTTTTTTATACTGAAATTGGGATGTTAAAAGAAATTTGTGCATTACTTGTTAAATTGCAGATAAGAAAGATAAATTTGTAAGTGATGATGTTGATACACAAGGGTCTGTGGATGACCATTTAGATGAGTATGAGGGTTGAAACATTCAAGTGTTAAATGTAGTCCAAAAGGTGAGGATGATAACAAGGTCTTATCATCAACTTCTCGTGTTGATGTACATCCTGCGCTGAAGAAGAAGAAGTTGCACTGGGGGTAATGATTTACATGTTGTAAATTGTTTTGCTGCTAATAGCCATTCCTTCATCTACCTTGTACTTGAGATGTAATGATATATATCATTTATAACACTGATCTTTTGGTTTGGATGACAGGTTAGACGCGAAAGAACGGTGGGAAAGAAAGGCCAACATGTAGAATTTACGGATTTACTCAAATGGAAAAGAAGCATATCGATTATGGTCTCAGCATGGCAGACTCTAAGCATTTTAATTGTTCACTTTCTGCAGCTTAGTTGGGGATGATCCTGCAGTCTGCATTTTGGTCGATGAATACTGGGATTACTTTGGATGAATTATGAAGGATATTGCACTTGCAAATACTCTTTAGTCTTTACTAGTGATTACTTATCTGTTGTCTCGAATGGGAAGGGACTGTTATGCATCAAGGGAAGGGGTTTGTTTGTTCTTTGTAGTGGCTGTGTAGCAGTGTAGGTTATGGAGGGGAGCAAAGAGCTTTTGTATATCTAGTTAAGGACGAAGAGGTTGTAGTACTGGCAAATTATTTGTAGAATCAATTTGTTGTTATCATTTGTTGAATCAATTTTCTCCTATTTCTGGGCTGTTTCTCGTTTTAAATAAATCAAATACTCATGGTTTTCTTTTAAGCATCCAGCCAAACCTTGTCGTTTTTTCGGAAATTTTAAAACAGAGAATTTGTTTATACTCTGTAATTCTGTATAATATATATATCCTCCTAAAACTACGGTGTACATATTACTTTTTTCTTTCAAGAGATGCAAAAAGAGGGTTTATGGAAACCAGATACGAAAGTTGGGTCAAATTTTTACTGACTTCAACATTCGATTTGTTGCAGTTACTAGTTAGGTCAAAGCATGCATCATTGTAGATCATTAAAAGTATTGAAGGACATTATATTTCATAAATAAAAGTCATACGACATCTACAATTGACTATCAACAATAATGAAAACAAATTTAGCAAAATCAAACAAGAATTAACTAGGGAAGGGCTAAGAATCCAACTGCATAGATATAACAATTCGACACGTTCTCGATTTGTTGTCTCATACAATTTTTTGAGTGGATCCGTTGCCGCTTCATAAATTTGTGAGAAAGAAAATTTTTGTGTTGATTTCGTAACCCGAATTTAAGCAATAATCAATCATAGCCCCGCATAACTGGAGACCAAATTAAGCGCAAATAAAACCTTGTCTTTCGAAAGAGTTCGAAAAACCTCTTCTTTCGAAGGAGATCGAAAAAAACCTTGTCTTTCGAAGGAGATAAACTCTTTCTTTCGAGGGAGACATTATTATAACCTGGAAAAAAAAAAACGTAAAAGAAACAAAAATTGGGGCTTTTCACCGGTGAAATCCGATGGAAACCCCTTCAAAATTGACAATGAAGGTTAGAGTTTAGGAGAGAGGAGGGAGAAAGAGGAGGCTAGGTAATCAATTTACTAGTTAACAGAAAGAGTATGACAGCATAAATTCACAGAAATAGTATGACAATGTTACAGAATAAACTACAGTGGTAGAAATGTTTAACAACCAAAGTTGTCCCACATCGGTAGTAAGAAGCAAGTATGTGTAAATGTGTAATAAGGGAAATATAAAAGGTCAATCATATTACTAGAATTTTCATACCTTTCTCGGCCTTTTGGCTAAGATCAAGTGTAGTATCTGTTCTTATCAGTTTAATATCTGATACGTGGGCCAATGGCCCACAACGATATTAAATTTATTTTTTAAGGGGAAGTCCCACAACAGTGGCTTGCTACTGGGGTCTTCAAGCGTCGCCCATGCGTTGCATTACTGCACGGGCCTGGCGCACCCCACCATTTGTAGTTACAATTTTTCTTTATACTACCTCATTTTTGGGTATTATTTATATTAGATAAAAAAATTTAAAAAGTTGTAGAAGTAGTGTTATGTTTATTCTCTCACATAATTATTTCCAAGAATATTGCTATTATTTTTATTTTGTTAACAGATTTTGGACAATGTTATTTCTGATGATCTTATTTTCATACAAAATATTTTCTTTAAAATAAATGTCATGTTTATTCTCATTTATCACATAATTATTTCCAAGAATATTGCTATTATTCTTATTACTTGTTAACAGATTTTGGACAATGTTTTTTCTGATGATGTTGTTTTCATACAAATTATTTTCTTTAAAATATGTAAGATGAGGTTTTTCGAGTGAAAGAGCTACTGTAAGCAAGAGTTAATAAACTGTGGATGCATAAGGTGAAAGAACTAGAAGCAACTAGTGAATAAATTTCCAAACTCTACTATAGCTGTTTATAGAACCTTCAGAGGGTTCTGAGAGTCTGGACATCAATGTACACATGAGCAAGAGAACTAACATCACACTCCTAAATCCGGGAATTATTAACTTTATTCTCTCTAGCATCTAGATCAAAAACTGATTCCTCCAGATTAAACAGATGGGTTTAGAGCAAGCTCTATTTCTTCAAGTGACCGTCCTTTTGTTTCGACAACGTTACCAGCTATGTACAAGACAGCTAGCACACAAACTGACGCGAATCCCAGATAGACTTTGCTGATCCCGAACTTGGTGACCACACTCAAGAAGTAAAGACCAATTACGAAATTTGAAGCCTGCAAATGGGGTTATATGGGGAAAGGAGAAAGAAAGAAATGTCAATATGTGGGTGCATAAATCGGAAACATGATGCTGAAGCATACTGCTATCTGTTTATCACTTACCCAATGCATCCCCAATGACAAAGCGACGGCTTTTGCTCGAATTCTGGATGCAAAGATCTCTGGAAGTAGAAGAGCAGGAACAGGACCAGCGCCAAGTGAAAAGGAGAGAACATATCTGTGGGGAAGAAGATATTATCTATTGTTGTTTGGGTACAATTAATGAAGAGGAATACAGAAATTATATATTTTACAGGTAAATGACTCACAAAACAGTTCCTACAACAGCAAGTGTGCCCGAGTATGGTGCTAGAGCCTTCCATGTGAATGATAGTGACAGTAACAACATTGAAGCAGCCTTCAAGTGGGAAAAGAAACTCGTCAAAAGAGAAGGTACAATAGTATTCCAAATGAATTTTTCAGGAAAAAAATAGTTAACAAAACACATTTGAATGCCCTCCACAATTCATGTTCAATTGCAGGAGACTAGGAGAGAGAGGTCCTTCTGAGCTCACAACCTTACAAGAGTTGCTAGCTTGCTACAATATCTTGATTCTTTTTTTTTTTTTAATAAATAAATTCAATATCTTGACTGATAGAAAAAGAGATCCCGTCAGGCAACACTTTGTTTTGATCATTGATCAATAAGGTATAGTGGTATACTCAAATGCCCTCTATTTCATGTCAGTCTTAAGGTTCATTCTCTGTTACTGAAGTCAAAATAGAGCCTTATTGATGATGAATATAGTACATATTATTTAAAGGAAAGCTTACCATTCCCGAGAAACTTGTCATCAGTAGGCTCTTTCTTCCTTGCCTGTCCATTAAAGAAGAAGCAATAGCAGTGCCTACAAAGAGGAGCAGATGAATTGAGAAAAAAGTTGCAAAGTATATAAAACTAATTAAGCAAAATGGTTCATCATGACATACCAAAAACATTTGCTGCTCCAACAAGGGCACTAGCAGCAACATCTGATGCAATTCCCGCACTGCGGAATACAGATGTGGAGTAATATACTACAGCATTGATTCCGGCCATTTGCTGGAATAAGAAAAGTGCAGCACCAACACTTACCACTGTACATAAAATGAATGTTATAAATTCTTAGAATAAATTAATACAAGGCTGAACATAATAACACACTCAAAAAAATGGTTTACGTGTCACTGTCTTAAATACCACGTAAGAAAGATGATAGGTACTAGTCTAGCATGAGTATTGCCTCTCTCTCTCTCTCTCTCTCTTTTTTTTTTTTTTTTTTGGGCGTAATGTTTTATTATTAGATTAGTCTACGAGATATATCATTTATTACATTGCAGCAGCAGTGGTACACATATTTGTCTCCCCTTGCCCCGCTCTAGGGAGGAACTTTTCCAGAAAAATTGGATAATTATGATATTAATGTCAATTTCAGGAGAGATGGAGGGCAGGGGCTGGGGAGAAGGCCAAGACTTCCTTGATATACCTTTCCGATAGCGACTACTGAACAGATCAAACCATCCAGCTTCTGGTTCAGAAGAACCTTGCACCGATGTTCTCAAATCATTGATCACCTCCGGAACCCTTTCTTTTCCATAGAGTGCTGCTACAGCCTTTTGCGCCTCAGCAATTTTTCCTTGCTGCAAAATTAATGAATCAGCTGAGCAACTTATGAACCCCCTAAATATGGATCAAAGTCTAAAACCTTCCAGTAGCTGTCATCATAGCATAGAGAAAACATATACTCTAAACGTAAACATCAGAGCACCTGAAAAAGCCACCTAGGGCTTTCTGGACAGAATCCCATCCCAAGAGCCAAGAGAACAGAGGGAACTGTTGCAATACCGAACATTGTCCTCCACCTGTAAAGAAAGAAAGAGACAACAAATAAAGTCATCAAAATGATAGAAAAACTGAGGTGATATACATATAAAACAATAGTGATATCACATTAAAAGTGGCCAGCAAATTCAATTAATGACTTCAATTGAGATTAAAATAAAGCCTGAAAAGCTTTTAAGTAAGAGCAGTTTGACAAACACAAACAACATAGGGATATCAAGGTAGTACCACAAAGGGTTTCCTGCTAAAGGCAATCCAGCAACCAAAGCAGCAAGAATCCCAATGCATATAAAAAGTTGGTTGACAGAACCAAGTGCACCCCGAATATCAGTTGGCGAGATCTGCAAAACAGAAATTATCTCTGTTCAATTTCTGTAAACCGACAAGTTAAAAATTTAGGAAGCATAGAGGTTATTACCTCAGATATGTATAATGGAACTAAGGCCGATGATATGCCAATTCCGATGCCACAAAGTAAACGACCAATCATCATAATTTGCACACTTTGTGCTGTGGCACTATAAAGAGATTCAGGACAGAGGTGTTACAAGTGAGTTGCTGAAGGTAAAATATTTAAACCTTAAAGGATTGTGTAATAACCAGAGATAAGCTCCTATTGCAAGAGGAATTGCATCTAACTGGAAAGTCCTTGTTCTTCCAAATTGATCAGCCAAGGATCCACCAGTAAACGAACCAACAGTCGCTCCCGCAAGCAATATGCTCACAACCCATCCTGCAGGAAAGCAACAAAATTGTTTTAAAAGCAGAACCAGCATTATGATTTCATAATGATCTGAATCGGATACAATATTATCATCATGGTATGCTAAAATGATCTTAAAGTCTTAAACATATTCCCAATAAGATTTTCTATATACCATGCTTCACATTTATGTTCTATAACAACTTGCCTTGTAAAACAGTATTGCCGGTAATAGCCAGGTCGGCAGATAGGTAGTCAAGAGCTCCATTTACCACACTGCAAGAATAACGATGTGAAAAGAAAATCTTAATAAGGTTTGTAGAGTGTAACCCGATTCCTAAAGTATCCATGAAAGTACTTGTTTCACCAGTAATGAAACTTAACAACAGATCAT